GCACAGGAGGAGGAACTTCTTTGCTCTGCAGTGAGCCAGCACTGCCCAGGCTGCCCAGGGAGGGGCTGGAGTCTCCTCCCTGGGGATATTGCAGAGCCCTCTGGACACAATCCTGTGCCATGTGCTCTGGGCTGGCCCTGCTGGAGCAGGGAGGTGGCACCAGTGACCCACTGGGGGCCCTTCCAGCCTCCCTGCCCTCTGCCTCCTGCCCTGCCTCCCAAACAACCAGGACAAGAAGAGTAGCAGAAGAAGTATAGTCTCGATGTAGATTAGATCCCCATTTTGTGAAACTTGAAAGGGATTTTTTTCTCAGTGTGTGTTGTATTTATGGAGACAAGGTTTTCAACACAGATAGCAAATCACCTCTGAAGTTAAAGTAGGATATCTGTGGGCTGTTAAAACACAACTTTTAAATATCTTTTTCCTGTGGTTGGTATAAGTGGTTAATCCAGAGGGCTTTGAAGTGAAAGAAATTTCAAACTAGTTTTCCACTGATTTTGTACAAACTTCTAGAAACTTTTGTTCAAAATTGTCTTCCAGAGTTTGTATTTAGTCATTCACCTACCTGTCAGTGACTGTCAGGGCTGTACAGATCACACTTGTAAATATGGCTTATTCTCTCCGTAATTCTACCAACGTTTTTGTGTAGAGCATTAATAGAAGTAATTTGCTGCACACGAACAAGCATTTGTTGTACTTTATTTTCTCTTTGGTTTAGAAATAAATCGCTCAGAAATGTTGCTATCTGTATACTGTTAGCAAGGAAAATAAAGTTCAAAATTTTAACTACCATAATCACGTTAAGTTTGCACTTAGACTCAAAGGAGACAAAATAGAAGAAAAGGATGATGGAATTTCATCTGATCTTCTCTTAGCACCAGGTGAGAAAAATCAATGTAAGGAAGACATAGGGAGGAAATGGAAAGTGTTGAAAAATAAATGAGGGCATTTCACCTGGTGGTGAATATGCTACAACCAAAGAAAATTAACCATTAGAGATGAAAAATATAACATTGGATAGAGAGGTTTATACATGTAAAATATCTGGACCAAAGGTGAAGTAGAAATATTTAGGAGTAAAGTCAGCTAGCTGTAAAAACACCTGATAAAAAAAATATAAAGGTGGACAATAAAAAGAACAGTGCTGGAGGTTAAGATAAATAAAATACGTTGAAGTGCCAAAAAGAAGAAGGTGATGTTGAAGAGGACTGTAAGACACTTTAAAAATAGTTCAGAAGCACCTTTCATATGAAACCTGTGCAGTAAAAAATAATACATCAAACCAATATATACTGCTGAAAACTCAAGCCTGAGCTTGTAACCGAACATGTGCAAATATGAGAATTCCTATTTCACTTTACAAGTGCCTGAGTCCTCCCATCTGCCAAGGGAGGATAAAATAAACTCAAATAAACTTTTACAGTTGTTTATTCCACCCATTCAGCAGGATGACACTCCCAGGAAGAACTGGAATGAAGCAGGAACAAGCAGATACCATTGGGAAGTTGTTTGTTTGCGTCATCATTTGCAGTGAGTGATTAAAATCAGATGTAAGATTATGTATATTGTTGCTGAGTCAACTAAGATTTAATCAGGTCCTTTCTTGTGGAACAGTTTGTAGTGGTTAATGGGGAGTTCCACCTTTCATCTGACTGTGTTTTAGTGTTCAACTTGAGGTGAAAAACTTCAGTTTTGCTCTGAAATGGATTAGAGTTGCTTGTGTGTGCAGCCACTGTGTGGAAACCAATGCAGTAGACATAATTATGATATCAAAATATATGAGGATAGAAAAATAGATAGATAGATTGAAATTAGGGTAGCCATAAAAGGGTCAGCTTCGTACAGAAAGTATTCCCTTTTTTCTCACTATTTTGCAAATTCCATCATTTTAGTATCATGTTAAAAAAATTAATCATGAAAGTGTAGTTGCTTACCTTTCTTTTTTATTGGTTTCAATAATCCAGGGCAAAATATAATAACAAATCAATGTTCTAAATAGCCATAGAAATTGGAATTTTTTTCCCAAACAGGGATGGTTATATTCCAAAGGTACAGTGCACTCAGTAAGACTGATGGTGATAAAATAGAGGGTGACAAAAGAGAGAACAGGAATTTCAGTGAAATATTTATATGCGGGTAGAGAGAGAAATATAATAGTTTATATCACATAGTATCATTTGTGCTCCATTTTTTTGTTGAAATGCATCATTTACTGCTTTTATTTTCCCACTAAACATTGGTGTAGTCCAGGTTGGCAGAATTTTTCCACCTTTTTTTGCAGTTTTCAGTTTAAATTGTTTAGAATAAAAGAGAAGAAAGGCTATTAGGGAGGAAAATAATTGACAATATTTTGCAGTAATGAGATAAAACATTTGTGTTTTTTCCAGAAAAAAAGTCAAAAACACCATTTCCCAAGGGGAAAAAAAGTTATTGCCAAAAAAAAAGAAAGCGGTTTTTGTTAATTAAAATTTTACATAAGTTTAAGTGCTAAATAATCTTTAGTGGCTTAAACAGAATAGTACCAGGAAGAGTTGGTAAATGGCAAAGATTCCCCGTTTATGACTGTGAATAAAAACATTGCATTAATATTGTTTTTAAGATAGGTGGGGAGGGGTTGTTTGTTTATTTTAAACAAAGCAGTTGGCATCAGGTTTACCACTGTAGGATGTATGACCTTAAAAGTAAATTAAGGGCAGCTTCCATGTAAATATAGAGATTTAAGGAAGGTTTTGAGTGTCATCGGTTCTGATTGCCCTTGTTATTTTTTATTAATGACATTTCAGTAGCTGGCACTGGATACAGCTTTTCCTTGGATTCAGCAGTTTCATCCTAGTTCATTTCCTGCCTCTGAAACATTCCAGGATACTGCTCTGTTCAGATTCCCCTAACGTTTATAGCTCAGAATAAGAACATTCTATTGAGAGAAATTGGTTTATGTCTTTAAGGGAGACAGAAAAATGTCTTCCCAAATACCTGTCCCAAACTTCTCTCACCTATTCTCTCCATGAACACAAATTTGAAATTCTACTAGCTGTGCCAGCAGGATGCCTGGGAGCTCTGTGTACAAAACACACTTGCTTTGGTGGTTTTCTTTTCACCCTTCCTTTCTTATTTCTGCTTCTTAAATCTCATTATCACAGACCCATCCTCTGGCTTCTCCTCTGAGCTTTCCATTACGTTTTAGGAATCAAATTCATTGTTATCAATTGTGGGTGAAAGTGTGAGAAGACTGGATACAGTTCTCTGTTACTCTGCATGGGATTTGCTGTGCCACTCAGCAGAGTCTACATATGGTATATTTTATATATATATATACACTATGTAATATATAAATATATATTATAATATATTATTATATATATTTATATATTTGATTTACTATTCATACTTGAGTATGAAGAGCTGGTGGGAAAGGTCTTTCCCCAGAGCTTGGCTCACTCTGTTACAGCAATACAGACTAGATATGAAGTTTGTCTCTGGAGGTGCCCGAGGAAGGACCAGACGTGGCTCTCCGTGCTCTGGGCTGCTGGACAAGGTGGGGATCAGGCACAGGTTGGACTCAGTGGGCTGGGAGATCTTTTCCAACCTTAATGATTCTGTGATTCAGCAGATCCAGGGATTTGATGTGTGCCCATGTTACTGTCTCCTCTTTTGGTCTACAATACCAAATATAAGACAGAGAATTTTAGTGACCTGGATCAATGAAAGCACATTTAAGAGTAAAATCTCTTGAGTTAAAAAACTTTATTAAGACTCAACAAAAGTATAATACTCATAATCTTCAAAGCAGTGTCAAGTAGTTAATTTATTTAATTCTCTCTACTACTCCATGATAAGATTTCTCTGACAATAGATTTCTGATGTAGGTAGGTGCTTGAAATTCAAAGTAGCGGCTACATCAACAACTGTGAGCTTTGTTGCTGTCACTATAAACAAAGGAACTTGTCCTGTTCCTCCCCAAAGTACAGCTGCTGGAATCAGGGAGAAATAGCTGGAAATGTTTTCAAACAATGAGGACAGACATTGGTTGTTCATGTTTCTCAGTGTTAAATTTTTAGGGTTTTCTTCTCTTCTTTAGTAAAGAAGAATTGGTCTTTGGATTTGGGAGGTAGGCTTCCACAGACTCCAACTGCAAAGATCAAGGAATTAATGGAGGGAGGAAAGCACCCTCTGTTTGCTATCAGTCTGTCCTAACAGAAATGGGTTTGTTGGCAGTTTCAGTTAAACTGCATCTGCAAATGTCACATCTGTCCAGTGAAAGAAAGAGGAGTTCAACCATTTCACTTGGGCACGATTCATTAGCAAAGAAATCAAAGCCTTGTTTACATAGAAATGTGTATGAATCATGATATTGGATTGAGCATAGGAATTTTTATACATATACATATGTATTGCAGAGGGACTGAAGTGAATCTGAAATTCAAGCTCAGAGGGAAAAGAAAAGTATAACTTTATGCTATAATTAAAGTCCTAATAAAAACCAGACATATTGTTCTGGTATGCAGTAGTAGCCTGTTTTGCTTTGAAATCAAATGAATTGTTCTGTGCTATCCGTGTTATGTGATCACTAGACACTTGGGTTTGTTTTGATTACCACTCTGAAGGTAATTAGAGATAATCACCATGTCACAAACACAAGTCCCCAGTCCATCTGAGTAATCCTCTGTCTTTTTTGTCTCACAGGTGGGCTGAGGTCAAGTTTTCCTTCTCAGGAAGTTTTGCAGACCCACACAGTGTACAGCAAATAAATGCATGGAACAGGCACTTGCAGATGACAGCAGTTAAACAGTTAAAAAGAGACAGCTAAAACTCTCTGTGCATCCTATCAGCTCGTTTCCCTGCAGTGCCATTCCTCCCAAGTCCCCTCTTACGTCATGGGTTAATCCACTTGCAGTCTGTCACTGCAGCTCAGGCGATGAAATCTTTGGGGAATGGGCAGTTGCTGGAGCATATGCTGTCCATTCACAGTCCTTTACAGGCAACTGGAATACAGGCACCAATATGCCCAGATTGCTCTCACATGACAAGCTTATTTGGTGATCTGCAGAAAACAGTGGAATTACCATATAAAATACAATTACATAAATCAGGAATAAGCATATACTGTAAGGAATTATCCTAAATGGACTGGGAAGTTGTAGGTGAATATTTTTATACTGTAGGGAGTTACCCTGAATGGACTGGGAAATTGTAGGTGAATTTTTTTTTTGCTTTTATATAGAGGACACTCTCTCAGGGAGAGTTAAAGAGCAAAAGACTAAATAATCATGGAGCACTGAGTAAAGAGTTAAATAGGAATGTCACCGACATTTTAAATTACAACTTCTACCTCAGGCTGAAATGATCATTCATTCAACATTGTTAAACACCAAAATTATTAGGGATAAACAGTAAATCTTTCAAACAAAGCTCTTTAAATATATCTGAAGGTTGAGAGGCAACCAGGTGCCTGAATTTCCCTGTTGAAATGAGTTTATTGAATTTATTCCTGTTGTAATGTTGATAATGTTGCATCCCAGCTATCTTTGTGTGCTTGTAAATATGCAGGGGATCACAAAGCTTATTATGTTTGTTCACTCGAAAAATATGACATGCTTTAATTTACCTCTCAATAGGTAAGATTTAATGAAGGGACTACATTCCTTTTTTCCTCCTGGACCACTGTTTGTGCTACTGATGTCCCCTGCTATGTGTATTCTTTCTGTTCTTGTACCTCACTAAACAGATAGAGAAATTCCCATGGGATTTTAATACATGTTTAAAGTACTTAAAAAACTTGAGTGTTTACGTGCTGTCCATCCAGCTTTCTTATGCTTGTCTTCATGGTCAATGCAAATGACCTCCTGAAAATGGTTGAGATAGTTTGTTACTCACCACTTCAGTAAAAATAATAGAATATTTCAACTCTTTGGTAATAATTGTTTACCCTGGCCAAGTAAATTCCTAAGGCATTCTATAGAAAATAGAATATCTGCCTTCCAATGCATTTAATCCCCAGAAGTATTAGGACCTAATATGAGTGGTGGTTCTGTTCCACGTGAGAGGAATGCTGTTCCAGGGATAATTTGCTCCACAGAAATACTGAATGCAGCATAGGATCGTTCCTGTCTGGTTTATTCCTAAACAGATCTTTCAGCAGGAGAACCATACCAGGACAACTCTCCCAAAATGGATTCAAACACACATCTGAAACACTCCTGCCAGACCAGGGTTGTCTTTGCTCCACGGACCAACCCCATTAAAAGATAAAATCCTCCCTCCTGGAGCTCACACTCCCTGTTTCTGCCTGCAGAAGTGTCAGTCCCTACCTGGGAGTCGAGGCAGGCCCGTGTTATTCCAGCACTGAACTGTGAATTGTTTCCCATCTCCCACTCACACACCTGGGATCACCAGCCATGCTGGGGGAGCTGCAAAAACAACAAGCAGCAATTTGATTTCATTTGGAATATCTCAGCCTGGCAGAGCTGCTTTGCTAAGTAGTGGTCCATAACTTTGATGTTCTGTCAGGTTCTTGAGTTGCCAGCACTGGAGGATTCACTCTAGGAAAGACTTCATTGGAAAAACTGAATTTGGAAACAGGCTATTATGGCTAAAGAGTGGGTAAATGTTTGCTCCCACTTACTTAAATGTATCAATGTGTAATCTGGGTTTAATTAATTCTCAAATTGATAAATGGCTTTTTAGTTCCCTTTGTATACCTGTGACTTAGAGAATGTAAAATTTTGTCCCTTATGACCTCTAGATATGGATTAATGTAGTGACTTTTCATGTTATTTCAATGGAACTAAGATTTATACTCCAGTAACTTTAACACACTGCAGCATTTAATTAAACAGAACTGTTGTGGAGTTACATGCATTGTTTGTATGAACATAAACTAATGCCAATGCACTTATGAGTGCATTTTCTTGTGTGAGTTATACATAAAAGAACCACAGCTTTGCCCACAATGCATTATACTACTTGAGTCTTAGAAGATGTTTGACCCAGAGTCCCGTGGCTAAAGGGATGACATTTTTGTGATGTTTTTTGGTGCTTGCATGGTAGCATGAAGGATCTTTTCAAGTGCTGCATCTGCTTACAGCTTCCTGGTTCTGAACCAACTTTGAATCCAGCCTTCACAGTGCTCTACGACAGACTCATCCAAAAGTATTTGCAGAGGGTGCAGGGCATGGAACACCACGTACCTGCTCAGTCCTGAAGTCAGGGAAAAACACTACAGCACTTAGAACACAAGCAAACTGTTGTCTTCAGTATGTTTCTTCTTTATAAAAATCAGTGTGGGCAGCAGGCAAGGCAGGGGATTTTGACGTTTTAGTCCTGTAAAATTCCCCAAGTTCTAAATTCTGAATTGAATTTAAATCCTTCATGTGGTCTCTGGGACAAACTCTCCTTGCAGCTTCAAAAGGACAAAGGGGCTAACGATGCAGTAAACAACCTTGATTCTCTCTCTCTGTACAACCTTTTAATGACTGTCATTGCTTCAGCTTCAAGGGGTTGTGTGATCTAATTAGGGCAAATTGAATAAGACTGCTTTTATGCTAAAGCGTGAGAAAGTTAATTGAAATCAATCCATGTTTAGTGAAAATGCTGGAGACATCACTGATAATTTAAAGCAATTAAAAGATGTTGTCCTGAAGCAAGGCAGAAACATTAAATCTAAGAGTCTGTTAAAGAAAACTACCTAAAATATTTAAATTATATTATTCAGATAAGAGGGACTAGAGATAGCTGAAACAATTAGAAACTAGGAGACATAAAACCAGCAATGTAATCTTCTTTGAGCTATTCTTTAAGTCATTTGTTTTTTTAAAGTCATAGATCTTTTTAAGAATCCCATTTGTGACACTGGTGACCAAAGGTGTGCTAGTGGATTTGCAAATTTTTTGACTTGTAGATCTCCAGTTCTCAATGATGGAACATTGTGCTTTGAGAAAATTCAAATTGAAACACACTTTTCAGGTAAGTAGTAAATTTCTTGTTCAGAGGATGCAAAACATTGCATTTGGTAGATGTGAAGGTTAAAATCCAGTCTCTTGACTTTACCAAATTCCTGAATATGGCAGAGCAATTATGATGGTTTTCTGATCTCAAGTCCCTATATTCATCATAAAATCAGAGAATTTTGTAGAATTTCCGTTAAGGTTGGAAAAGACTTCCAAGATCCTCAAGTCCCACCTGCTGAGGGGTGAGAATTCAGAGCTGCACAATTCTGTGACATTCTCATTGAGAAGTTTTGTCTTAGCACAAGTAATAAGACAGAAGGTAAAGAATAGAATCAAAAAAACATTTGAAATATTGTCTGTAACACTCATATTGTTGTTGTCTACATTCAGCCTCTGGACCAGACATGATGGACCTGCCCCTGTTACCTCTCACCTCTAGCAGGGTCTGTGCAGCTCATTAAGAAGGTTTTAATGTGATGACATATGCTGGTAATACTGTACAGACATGGAAATGTATGAAAGATTAATTCTATAAAATATACCATAGCTGAAGACAGCTAAAATTAATCTGCCAAATACTAGTAATTGTCTTTTATGGTCTGTCACAGCTTGTACTTGCAGATTTGTATAAATCTCTGTGGAGGCAGTTTCTTCCTTAGCCAGAGTTAAGCATAGGGAGCTTTGAGAGGACTGATCCTGAGTCAACTACACAAAGGGTGTGTCTTGCCAAAGCTTCTTAAAACAAGGGCAAGGTAAGATCCTTGGGCTGAAGTACTTTTTTGCTTTATCCCCCCTTTTGAAACTTTTATTTTAAGAGAAAGCATGTTCTCATTCTCGTGAGTGTAGAAATTTTTTGTTTGAATAGTAAATACTTGGACTGTGCATTTCTGAAAGATACTCTTTATTCCTCTGTTCATCTATCAACTGGAGGTGGAAGCAATAATCTAATTCTTAGTCAAAAATTGGAAGCAAACTATTTTCTTTAATATCATCTGTTGATCTTCCATGATCTGTGAGCTGCATTATGGCAGAAAATTGTGCCAATCTTTTGGTCACTCTTTATTGATATTAAATGCTGAACTTTCTGTGTTTCTTTCTCAGAAAAACCTCCTTGTTCTGCTTCATACCATGAATATTGTGTTATCTCAGAGGATATGTCTGTTATTAGGCTGTACTACTGTGGTGTCTATAGTTCTAACTGTGGTGGATAATTTATGAACACAAAGTAATGATAAGAGAGAAAAAAAATATTTTCTCAACAGGGTAGTGAGAAGATAGAAGAAAATAAATATTTTACCCCAGAAAATGCATTGATTTATTAGGGTCATTCAGCAATTATGAATAATGTCAGGAAAAGAGACTGGAAAGCATCTGAAATTTGGTACCTTAATCATAAAATTTTTTCTCCTATAAAAATATTTCTGGTAAAAAAAAAAAAACAAAGACCAGAAAGCTGAAGTACCAACTCTACCCACAAAAAATCCTTGGGACTTCTGCACACATACAATGTATAGAACTTTAAAAGTCCTGTATTTTTAAATGTGCACCTTCTAGTAGCTCCAGAAACAAATTAAAAAAAAAAATTTCTCTTTCTAGAACTAAACTGAACATGGAAACTTAAGCTAAACTAGCATTCTACAAAAGATTTCGCTCAACTCTCTGGGTCGGGTGTCCTTTGAGAACTTTAAATAGTAGTCAGTGAAGTCTCAGTTTAGCTGAATTGGTTTTCCCTCATCGCTTCCTCTTAGTTATATATATCACTTCTAACAAGTTTAGTTTTCATCCACTTTTGTATTCCCCCCCAAACTCTCTCTGAAAATGCCAGGCCTCATTTCCTCTGCAAGATGTTTAATCAAAACTGACCCACAATTTGAAGCATGAATGCCCAGCATCTCATTATTAAGCACTGCCTGGGACATTTAAGAGTGCTCTAAGCTCAGCTGGGATGTGGTGACAGGATTCAGGAGGCCACTGATATTTAGTTTAGGTAATCATTTAGTGTAGGTAATATTTAGGTAATAATTGTTTTAGGTAATCATTTATCTATCCTTAGTATTTGGTATGAAAAAGCACATGGAAAAACATCCCAGTAGAGTTTTGTATCAGCAGGAAATTCTTGATCTATATGACCTTGGCCTAATTTGAAACTTCAAGAAATTGAGTAAGAGCCAGCCCAAAGAAAGGGCTTCTGAGTTAATTCACCTTCCCTGCTTCTGGACTTCTCAAGGGTTTCACTGCAAGGACACTTGCCACTTAGTTCATGAATTTTTTAGCCACCTCTCA